ATATAATAATAAATTAAATTTAATATATATGTAATATTAAAATTATTAAATATAATAAAATAAATATTAAAATATTAAATATATATACTAAATTATATTATATTATATTATATATATTTAATATTAATAATAATAAACACATAAATAAATAAACTTTTAATTTTGATCGAAAAGAAATAAATTTAAAAATTAATGATCACATTATTATTAATAACAATAACTAATAATAATAATAATAATAATAATAATAATAATAATAATAATAATAATAATAATAATAATGGCGTAAGTATATTCATCGATTGTCAAATTTAATATATAAAAGTCATAAAAAAAAAGTAAAGCAAAAAGAGGTTTGGATTTTTCACGTTGCTTCCAATGAAGATTTTAGGTAGGATTGCTCGAGTTAAATCACGAAGGCGTGTACAACTACTCCCTGACATTTTCTTGACGGGTTTCCCAACGGAGCGTACAGGTGGCACGAATCTCCTGTTCAAAATACTGGCCCTGGCCGACATTCACTCACCCTTCCCTTTCTCACCATTCCTTATTCTGAAAATGTCATATTCGTTGGCAACTACTAAGGTTTCACCATTTTGTGCTTACCCGATCAAGGAAAGTAAAAATAAAAAATATAAAAGACGATCAAAAGTTTGTCATTTAAGTATTTTTTAAACGGTTGAAAAATTCCTTCTAAATTTGAGAAATTTTTTCTATTCCCTTCCACCTCCTACACACATTCATACATATATATATATATAAGTGAATGAACTAGTGTATCGTATGTATAAATTGTTTCTTTTTTTACTTGCTATTAAAGTTAACCCATTTATACAGTAGTAGAAGAAATTCGTGAAACTCTAATCGATACGCCTAACCTCTGACCTATTATCGCGGTCTGCCAGCTTGTTCTGAGTAGATATCGTTCAACGAGATTTAGTTGAACGCGTTTTGTGACCTCTCTCTCTCTCTCTTTTTTTTCTCTCTCTCTCTCTCTCTCTCTTTAGTACGATAAATCCTTTTTAGAAAGAGTAACGCAAGTAAGTAGTTATACGGTAGTAAACCCATTGCTATTGGTCGAATACATTGTAATCAAACTTAACCGTAACATTCGTATTTGTACTTTTACTTCTAATAAATTTTTTCTAAGTTTAATCTATTTTCTAAAAACGTTGTAACTTGTCGTAGTAGGACAAATTATCTAACGTAAGGGGGTTTCATCTAAAAATAAAATAATTTATGGTTTTCTTGTGAAGATAAAAAAAAAAAACAAAAAGAGAATGCAACTAAACTTTGGAAGAATTGTATCTCGTTTTAGTCTTATCAATTTTTCATAGCCATAATCTTTCGTGAGAATACAGTTACCATTGGTCAAATAAATTCTTTTACGATAAATAACGTTTTGCTGAAAAGAAGAAAGAAAAATAAATAAAATACAAATATATAATAATTAAAAATAAAAATAGAAAATAAAAGAAAAAATATAATAAAAAAATATAAATAATAAAAATATAATAAAAATTAAAGTATAAAAATTAGAAAAATAAAAACCCTATTCATCTATAAATTTTCGAAAACATAATCTAGAATGCAATTACTATGATCGAATAAGTATCTTATAACAAATAACAATCTAATGAATAGAAAAAATAAAACTAAATAAAATAATAAAATATAAATAATAAAATTTAAAAAAATATATAATTAAAAATACAAGTTAAAAAATTAGAAATAATAGAAACCTTGTTCTTCTATAAATTTTCGAAAACATAATTTAGAATGCAATTACTATTGGTTGGAATATAAAAAAAAAAACATTTCGCGCGCGTATGATAAATATCGTTCTACTTTTATGAAAAAGTTGAAACCTTTTTCAAGGATACAAACAAGGAATACCGATTTCGATTTGGTTCCAAAATAGAAAATAGAAAATAGAAAAGTAAAGACACACAAAAATGAAAGGAAGAATGAAAAAAGTTAGGCAACGTTAATTAGTTGTCTATACGGTCTAACGCGTCCGACTAAAGGTCGTCCTCTTCTACTTGCACGCTCGAAAGGAGAAATGTCGGGGATAACGACGACTTGATTAGTAGACCCACTTTCGTCACAGGAGTCTGATCAAAAGGTCTACTATCTACTGTTTCTATTCAAACGAGACTAATGTATTCAACCTGTATACGCTTTTCGACGTTCCTACCCTTTTACTTTTTCAATTTATTTATAATGACTCTTTGACAATTCGTCTAATTAACGTGATATACCAATGTTATTGAATTAATTTACTTCTATCATTTTATATCGGTCAAAAATAGAATTTTTTTTCTTTTTAAATACAATAAGAACTTTGAGGATTAATTTATAAATATAATATACAGAAATATTTATACAATTATTATTATTTTAAAAATAATTACAAATCTCTTTTTACTTTTAATACAATATTTCATTAATTTGCAGTAACATATTTTAAGATTATTAAACTATTAAATTAATTTATTCGTGTAATACTTTTGAAACTTATTTGCGTTATAAACTAATAAATATTAAATAATATATTGAATATTAAAAGTATTTTTTAAATAATATTAATAAATTATATTTTACAATATAATATTTTTCGAGCAACCCAATATGTTTCGTTGATAATTACTATTATATATAATTACTAGTAATAAACTAATTAATATTATATAAAATATTGAATATTAATATTTAAAATAATATTGATAAATTATATTTTAAAATATAATACTTTTCAAACAACCCAATATGTTTCTTTGACAAATATAAAATTACAATAATTACTATTATATATAATTACTAATAATAAACTAATAAATATTATATAATATATTGAATATTAATATTTAAAATAATATTGATAAATTATATTTTAAAATATAATACTTTTCAAGCTATCCAATATGTTTCTTTGACAAATACAAAATGAAAATATAAAATAATACAAATTTCTATTATTAATAACTTATTAATCATTTCTATATATTTCATTTATATTTTTATATATTTACAGAACTGGCGGCGGTAGTATGCTGGGGGATGTCAACATCTCAGCAATACTGGACTCCTTTTCAGTTAGTTACGATAAAAGAGTAAGGCCGAACTACGGAGGTGAGTAAGGACGATCGATTGCCTCTTCCTGCTTTTAATTAAAAAAAAAAAAATAATAATAAAAATAAACAAACAAACAAAAAACAAAAAGAAAATAATAATCGATAATTCGATATATAAATTCATTATCTATATTTACTATCACCGAGAATCACGTGGCAAGAATTGTAACGACGTTACGATAAAATTCAATTGATGTTAAAATTAATCAAATTTCATCCTTAAAAATTTCAGAAACAAATTTATTTACAAATTTTTATATCATTTGTTCATTACACATTGATTGTTTTAATAATTTTTAAATTAAATCGTCAAATTTTTCTTCTCCTCTTTTTTATTTATTAGATCATTTGTTTTTTTACTCTTTCTTTTTAATTATTAATTAAATAATATCTGACACGTTGACGATTAATGCCACGTATATTAGAATCTTCGTGATATCGTCTTTAGAAAAAAAAAAAAAAAAACAAAGAAAATATTTGCGGCGCCTGTAAAAATGCTTTACTTTAATGTCACAAGAGATGACCTGTCAAGTGATGCAAACTTTTGAAGATATTGTCAGTAAACCAATGATGGACACGTGCAACACGATCAAATCTCGTTTAATACGATAGAAAAAAAAAGAATTAGAAATACTCTTCGTGATAATAATGATTTGTCGATTAATATTTCATAAATTAATATAACAATTACATAATAATAATAATAATAATAATAATAATAATAATAATAATATGAATAATAATAATAATAATAATAATAATAATAATAATATTCGAAAAAAAAACACGCACACAATTAATTCGCGTCTGCGTTGGTTAGGATCAATTGTCCTCGTTTTTTTTTTGTTTTTTTTTTATTTAATAATTTTTATGAACGTGTATATACGTTAATACGCTCGAACTCGTGAAAATAAACAACTTGTAATATCGTTGAGATTCGATTTCGCAAATAAACGAAGATCCACGAATGAAGAAATAGTTAAAATAAAAGTAAGGAAAAAAAAGGTGAGGGTTGTAAGGACCAATAGTTAAAGGGTTGAACAAATTTAGAACGTTTCATTAACTGATAAAGACCTTATCTAAAAATAATCTTTCGTATAATAAATATCGATAAAAATGTAAATGTCGAAGAAAACGTAAAAGAATGAATGGTATTGGATTAAATGTAGATATAAACGCTGGTAAAGAGAAAAAAAGGGGCGAGTAAAAGGGTAAATGAAAAGGGAGAAAGAACAGAAGGATAGAAAGAAAGAAAGAAAGAAAGAAAGAATATATAGAAACGAGAGAAAGAGAAAGAGACAAAAAAAAAGAAAAAACAGAATGCCTCGGGAAATATTTTTGACGCCGCTTACTCTTTCGTCATGAACGATACAGAAAAGAATATTCGGAACAATAGGGAGAGCAAGCTCGTGGGCGTATACTTGGTTCGATAAAGAAAAAAAAAAAAGGGAAAAAAACACACGAAAAAAAAAAGAGAAAAAAAAAATATATATATATATAACCCCTAGTCGACAGAGAGTGGTTGGTACCAGGAGGACGAACGTCGGAATAGAAAACTCGCGTGTCGTATTCGGTCTGCAAACGAAAAGAGAGTAATTTGCTAGTTTCTCTGCGGGCCTCATCCCGCGTGTGCGGTTTACGAAAAAGAATGAAAAAAAAAAAGGAAAAAAAATGAAAAAAAGAAAAAGAAGGAATTATTACAATAAAATATCGTGATAAAATGGGAAATCCTTGTAAAATCGAAACTACTGCAAATAAATACATTTATATATGTATATATACATAGAAATTTATATAAATACATAGGACACATATATATATATATATATTATTTATGTATTCATAAATTAATATACATATATAAATAATATAATTTAATATAATATAAAATTCTAAACTATTTATAATGCAGTCAAATCGATATTCAATAATCATTTCTGGAACTTCAAATTTGCCATAAAATAACATACAATTTTTATTTTTATTCTTATTTAAATATTACATATTATATAAAATATTATTTAATTATACATATATACATATAACTATTATAATATATTTTATTTATTATTATATATTATTATACATTATTAGACAGAAATAGATATATACATGTATTTATTTGCATTGTATATTATTGCTATATATATATTTATCGTGTAAGTAAAATATATTATAATATGTTTCCTTCTCTTTTTTTTTTTATTTTTCTTTTTCTTTTTCTTGCTCGTATTCCTCATGTGATTTAAATTAAAAAAAAAAAAAAAAAATAGAAGAAGATTAAAACACATTGGCTGTTAAAATTAATCGTACGAGATCATCATCATCATCATTAACGTGATTACGCGAGTACTAACCAAAACGTTGTTCAGGGAATTCGTTCGATTAAATATCAACTTGCAATAATTATCTAATGAATGATGTGATATGAAGAAGAAGAAGAAGAAGAAGAAGAAGAAGAAGAAGAAGAAGGAGAAGGAGAAGGAAGAGAGGAAAAAAAAGGAAAAGTAAAACAAATCGAATAAGTATTTTCCCTTCTCTCACCTCACTCCACCACCGTTGGAAATAAGGCTGATATCTCTCTCGAGAATAAGACTTTAATCAAAATTTTTTTTTCTTCACCCACGACGATGTAATAATAATAATAATAATAATAATAATAATAATAATAATAATAATAATAATAATAATAATAATAATTTTTGTTTGTTTTATTTTTTCATATTTAACGTGGAATGATATATAATAGACTTTCGAGAATTGTATTCTTGCACAGATGTTTAATAAATAAATTATCTGATTAAATATATATACGAATATATATTTTAATATTATTTATATTTCTTTTTTTTTAATATTAATTATTTTTTAAATATTTTTATATCAAATATTAAATATATTAAAATATAATATGTTTTAAATATATTTAATTAAATATTTTTATATTATCATTTATTTTAATATTATTTATTAGACAATATAATATTATTTATATTATTTATTTGTTATATTAATTATTTTTCTTTAATATTTTTATATTAAATATTAAATATGTTAAATATATTAAATACTACAATAAATATATCAAATATATTTAATTACATATTTTTATATTATAATTTATTTTAATATTACTATTAATTATTTTATATATATATAAAGAATGAGAAACAAATATAAATAATTCATAATAAATATTTAACAAAAAAAATACAAAAATACAAATACAGATATCAAACCAATGTGTTAATCTCGAAATAAAAATAACTGACATTTTCTTCAAAATAAAATCTTTACAATTCAAAGAAAAAGAAAAAGAAAAAGAAAAACAAAAAGAAAAAAGAAAACTCTTATTACGTTTAACGTAAGAATCCACTCATTTTCGAGTGTTCGAATCGCATTTAGAAAACAATCTAATTTAATTTCCAACACAGACAATCCGTTCGAAATACTTGCGCTTTCTTTTGTATAAACCGGTCATGGATAGGTTGGGTTGGGAGGTAAAGGAAGAGGAAGAGGGTTGGTTTGTTGCTTATAAAGGAACGTTTTCAACAGGGGAAAACGCGTAATCTCTTAAACGCGAAAACTTCTTCACTAGATATTACTCGCTTTCGTCTCTCGAGTGAGTACTTCGAAGTGGCAGTAAAGGGAGATCGTGTAGGGTAAAAAATAAAGGAAAGAAAAAGAATGAAGAAAAAAAAGTGAAAGAAATCAAGACAGTTTCTTGACAGTCTCGTTTCGAGATGGGGAAGAAAAGAAAAATACAAAAAAAGGAAGAAAGAAAGAAAGAAAGAAAGAAAAAAGAAAAAGAAAGAGTACATTGCTTGCTTTCTTTTTGCTCTCAAGACGCTTAGAAGAAAACAATCTGATCTTTTCTTTTATCTATCTATCTATTTATCTGTATCTCTCTTTACTTTCATCTCAGTTTTCTTCTCGATTTAAAACTTTTCAAGAGTTTAAGAATTAATCGAAATACGAGAAAAAGCTTCTTCGTAGTATCGTATTAGCATTATTTTATTTGAACCGTTAATATCTCAAGAGATAAATCGTAACAACAACAAAATTAAGAAAGAAAGAGAGAGCATTCTAATAAAAATAAAAAAAAGAAACATTCCGAACATTCTGTTCAATAATAATCGAAGAACAAATAATTAAGATGTTCCGAGATTGAAGAAATAAAATATTTCTTAGAATTACATTATTTTCCAAACGATTTTAATTATTAAATTAAAAAAAAAAAAATTTAGAATAAAATTAAAAGAACTAAATAAAATCGAATGAACAACAATTGAACTCCAAATATTTTATCTTGGTCTCTCCATTTTTTTTTTTTAATCACAAAAACTTAAAATTATCATTTTACCGAATGATTTTCATTAACTTCTTCTAAGAAAACTTCATTGGCAGTCAGAGAACTGAAATCTTCGATGTTGGATAGTTTTGAAAGTCGGAAAAAAGGGTTGTGCGTCAGGAACCACCAATCAAAGTCGTAGAAACGGGTTGAAATTTTTCGCGGTAAAGTCAAATTTGAACCGAAACGCGAGTTCTAAAGGGCGGGGCAAAACGTAAAATAAAGGAGAGGACGAGGAAGAGGAAAGAGACGATAGAAGAGGGTGGTAGTTGGGGGTGGAGAGAGGGTAGAGGGTAGAGAACGTGCTTCGATAAAACTCGGATCGATGCTGGGACGCTCCTCGGGTTGCCAGTGGTTACCGTTAACGGGCATCTCTACTTCCAACACCCCATCCCCTTCTCCATTCCTCTTCCAACCCTCCACTCCCAACCCCCCATCCCAACTACCCCTCTAGAATCCACTAACTCAAACCAACAAGAGCCGTTTCTCATCTACGATTACGGATTTCGATGCCGTGCGCGTTCTTTTCGGCGGTCGTCCTGGCCAATCGTGCTCTGGTACGTTTCCAAAATTTTACTAGAAGAAGGAAAGAGAAAGAAAGAAAGAGAAAGATAGGACGACATCTTTCACCTTCTTTTTTTATTTTT